GCTGCAAATTATTTTCACAGCTTCGCGAATGTCGTCGAGTTCTGTCAAATGTTGCCAATTCCTTTCAAGTATCTGCTTGCTCAGTTTTTGAAACGACGCAGAGAAAGGATGTATTTCCAAGCGATTCGCCACAAAAAAGAAAACGCCAGCGCCTGTTCACATGTTGGCGCTGATTTGAGTTTTATACTTGAAAACTATTTGAAGTGATTTATTGCCGTAAACATTTTGAATATTCTTGTGGTGTATCCGCGGAATTTCAAAATGTTTACCGGAATAAATAATTTCAAATAGTTTTCAACTATGAAACTCAAATCAGCGCCAACACCATAGCACAGCCCGAAGTGCGAAGCCTTGTTTATTCTTTACCGGATCTTTTGCCAAAATTTCTCAAAAGCGATAGATGATTCGCAAACGCAGCATTTGCGGTTTTTCATGCATCTCACAGTGTCCAATATCTTCACAGTCTTCATCACCTTTGTAAAGCGCATTTCGTTTCTTTGTGATATCAAATGAAGAACGTATTCGAATGCTTCTGCAGTCAAATCTTGGCAAACATTTCCACCGCTTCAGGAATGTCGTCAAGTTCTGTCAAATGAATGTTGCCGATGCCTTTCGAATATTTATTTGTCTGTTCAGTTTTGGAATGGATTTGAATGAGAATGATAAAACTACGACACAACAAAAATGGCTAGCGTCTGCCCCACACTCTCTGCTACGCCGTTCTGTAGTTTAGCTCCAGTCAACATTTTGCAACTGTAGTCAATGGTCCGCAAATGCAGCGTTTGCGTGTTTCCAGATACGTTTACATTGTTTACATTGTTTAGCACTAGTATACATGGAGTTTCGTGTTGGCACCCCTCGGTAAAAACGTATTAGAATCGGTTACGTACAGAAATTATTTCATCGTGCAAAACACACAAGAAGAGAAAGAGAGAGCAAGAANTCCGCCACCTGTGGACAGCTGTCCGCCGCCGCCTGTGGACAGCTGTCCGCCACCCGTGGACAGCTGTCCGCCGCCGCCTCTGGACAGCTGTCCGCGGACAGCTGTCCACCATCTGTTTCTGGACAGCTGTCCGCCACCTGTGGACAGCTGTCCGCCACCTGTGGACAGCTGTCCACCACCTGTTTCTGGACAGCTGTCCGCCACCTGTGGACGGCTGTCCGCCACCTGTGGACAGCTGTCCGCCGCCGCCTGTGGACAGCTGTCCGCCACCTTGGACAGCTGTCCACCACCTGTTTCTGGACAGCTGTCCGCCACCTGTGGACAACTGTCCGCCGCCGCCTGTGGATAGCTGTCCGGCACCCGTGGACAGCTGTCGCCACCTGTGGACAGCCGTCCGCCGCCGCCTGTGGACAGCTGTCCGCCACCTTGGACAGCTGTCCGCC